GGCCGCCCTAAATCTCGTCAGCGACAATAAGCGAGAGCGGTCCATGAGGCGTCTATCCTTATATTATGTTTATGGAACATACAACAAATCCATGCTCTGCCGAAAACCAAACACAACATGGTCTCTTGGGGGCCCCCTGCTGGTCTGGAGGCTCGCTTACGCCTCAGAAAAACTCACTTTAGGAGCGGCTCATGTAAAACTGATGCAACCTCCGTAACGGTTTGTGAATCTAAAGCAGAAAACTAGTTAAAACTAAAGCACGAGCTCCTACTGCGTGGAAATAACATCTCAGTATGTGACACTGCGTTCTTCGTTCATCACATGTAGAGCCAAGACTGAACAGTAACAGAAACACATTACCTCTACCAAACATCAACATGGGGGTGGTGTTTGTTCTGCTTTACCTGCAGTGAGAAGGTGAGAGCCAGGTCAGTCTCCACTGACCCACTAGGTGGCAGCACAATCTCATGGGACCTCAAAATGCGTTTGGAACCCTGTGGAAGAAAAAGTTATAAAAATGTTCACAACATTCTAGGAGGTACAAGACTGGACCTCATGAGACGCTCGCAGGGGACTTTGGTTGGACAATGTATTGGTTCTTTTCAACATATACATCAAAACACAGAAATACATACCTGAATCTTGACTGCGATGACCACAGAAATCAGCTCTTTATCAAGCTCCTTCAGCACCACCAGCTTTTTAAGAGTCAGGCTGCACAGTCTGCAGAGAGACGCACACAAACAGACAAAAGGAGAGGTGGAGGTTCAGACAGCTCTCCTGGAGTGTTTTCATATGCACAAACAGGTGAGTCACGAACAACAAGTCAGTCTGTTTATCAAACAGTGGGAGGAACGGTTTACGGAGGAGATTGCTGCGGCCCCGCCGGCGTCCTCCAAGGAGTAAACAGATTGATCACATCGGTATTGCTGTGACATGTACACAGATTAATCACATGCTCTACTAATCACATACTAACTCTACACTGAGGCAGCATCACTTTCTGCAGCAACTGTAGAAAATGTAACCTACTTTGCTAATGTGCTCGTTAGTAATGACCAAATTAAAGAAGTTAAAAACACGATTAGACATGAGAATACTTTCTTAACCCTTTTCTAGTAATAGAGATGCAGTAATGCAAGAACCGATTCTCAAAGCTCAATAAACTTTAAATTCTAATGGACATTTAAGCACTGAAACTGGAAGACATTTAAAATATCCACAATAAATAAAGAAAACAACAGAAACAACAAATAAAATGAATTATGAAGTCTTTGTAAACAAAATTATCTTGAAAAATAGAAGGGATAGTTGAGCTCAAAGCACCAGACTGAAGATTTTTATCATTCAGTTTTTGGCAAAAAGAGAAAAGAGAAAAATCAAGCAAATGAAAATGATTGAGTTTCTTTTAATTCATCATGCAGTTAATTGATTTAGACCTACCAACGGTGACATAATGCTGGTTTACTGTTGTATTATCCGTTTCTTTTCAAAAGCAGTTAATTGTACTGAGCTGATTCATTTTGAACTTCTCTGTGGAAACGAGGAAGATTTCCTGACATCTGGAATCGTCTCAAAAAGCAAAACGATTTCCTGCTGAGATCTGGACTACCTGTTAAAATCTCACTCCTGTCAGTGAGCGACTAGTAAAGAGGATCTAACTCCTTATGATGTATATTATCTCGTTTTCAGTCTGATTTTCCTGAGACTGTTTATTGATTTCTCCACAGTTGTCAACATTGTGCGTCAGACCTTAATAAAACAAAAATTATCATTATTGAATGATCAAAAAGATGCATTTGATTGGCTTAAAAAATAAATATTTTCAACACAGGAACATATAAGAGCTTAAGGCGTTTCCTCCAGCTTCCTTTATGTGGCCAAAGGTGTCCCACAAGGATTAGCTCTGGGGTCACTCTTGTTTATTTTGATTATCAACCATCTTTACTGAGAATTAACAAAAACTTACTTCCATTTGTTTTTGTTCTAAAGATACTGTGATGTAAACTGTTGCATCCACACTTTACCAGCCATTTTATCACCCCAAACAATCTTTTAGTTTGGTTTAGCTCACTTTGTGTAATATTAAATTGGATGCTAAAACAAAAATAAGTGTTTAATCTTCCATCTGCTGCCTCTGCTAGAGGTTCAGAGACTGAATTTGTGTCTGAATGCAGACATCTAACAATCCTGACGGATGTTTTGCTCTCTTTGAACTCCCACATCAAACACTTGGTAAAAAATACTAAGAGAACATTTGCTCTTTAAAATCAAGTCCTTCTTTTGGGGATAAATAATAAAATATTTTGTATGTTTCTTTCATGTTTCAGGGATGTTTTTTTTTATCAATTCATCCTCTGAGTACTTAAATACTCTTGATACATCAAGATTCAGTCAAAACCTTTATTCATATTTGTCATCGTTTTTCAAACCATTCGCATGTCTTTACTTAGAAATCTATTCTTGCTCCAAAAAAGTAAAAGAGGCCACGCTGTCTGCTCACACGAAGTGATGACACAAGAAAAATACAAAGATTTAATCGACTTCAAATCCATCTGAATTTGAAGGAACTCAAACGTCATAAAAATAAACTTAAATCAACATATTTTTTCTTTTTATTGTTTAGTCTTTTTGACAGTTGTACATGTCATCATATCCCCTCTAGGTGTTAGTTATATTTTTTATTACTTGCTCTGCAATGCATATTTGTTTTAGCTCCGTGTTGCATTTTCATCCAGGCTGCCATCATTCAAATCCTTAAAATGTCACAATTAAATAATATTTGAGTAAAAGACTGAAATAAAAAAAACTGAGCTGAAAAGCTAATCAGTGATTTGATTTCTGAGAACTGCAGACTATCAGTCATAAATACCCAGAAACTGTGGCTGCAAGAACGAGAACGAAAAAAAAAAAAAAGACCCGATAATCCCTTAAAAGAAGCCATTTCTTTCCAACAGCCATACTGGTTCGTTCTTCTCCACCTCCTCACATCTATACCTTGTGGAGGTTTTATTTCGGTTTTTGTTAGCATGCAAGCCGAATGCTCCAGCAGAGACAGAGTGGGTTGCAGCTTACACAGAGCACAGTTAAGACAAAAAAAAAAAATCCTGAAGGCACTGCACAACATTTCCTAATACAGTAGCTGAAAACTGACTATAAACAAAGCTGGCATTTTGGGATCATGTCAATTGTGCTTCAAAAATGAACAGTTTTACCCATGTATGGTCACAAGCGTACAGTAGGAAAAAAAAAATGCAGATATTGATGGACTCAAATATGCTGCAACTTCACCCAATTTGAATTCTGTAAAAATAAACAAATAAATGAAATAATCACGTATTACACACCGATTGCTATTCAGTTATTAATCAGTTAATGAAAAAACATTAATCAATAGATCAGTGCTACACTGCATTGATGCTAAATCAAGCAGAGAGGACAGAACTTTTCACATGTTAATGTTAGAAGTATTTTTTTTAGCTGCAGGTGAATCCTTTGATACAAATGATCAAATGTTCAATAAGGGAATATTGCCATTTTATTTTAGGTAAAAGAAAATAAACAGTGTATATTTTAATTGAAAAAGAAATGTATTTATTTGTTTACTGGCACATTTCAATGTATGTCTAATATTGCATAAAAATGCTTAAGTAAAGTTAAAATGAAAAATCTGCAGAATGTGCCAATTTAAAAAAAAATCAATTTATCGTACGAACAATCGATGACAGAAATAATCATTGGTGCCGCCTGAATTTATTAAATAAACTAAATGTATTTTCAGTATAAGTCTTGCTGTTCTGTGAAGGCCTCAGAAAGCATCAGTAAACACCTCAGTAGAGCACAGCCTAGTCAAATCCCAAAACAAAATCTGATTGGGAATCTGTGACTGTGGTTGATTCTGGATGGATGATCCCCACCCCATCTGATTGAGCTTAAACTATTTTGCAATAAACAACACACACACACACACACACACACACACACACACACACACACACACACAAATTAATCTTCACAAAGACTAACAGCCAAATATGTCTCAATTCACATGCACACCACATTTTTCAGATTTGTAGCAGTAAAAGCTGCTTAAACTATTATTTTGCTTCCTCATCACATTACTCTGCATGACTCCGTTCATCATCCACCTGATCAGGTTTGCAGTCACAATGTTACAAAACCCAAGGAGAAAATCCAGAGGTATGAACACTTCAGCAAGGCAAAGAGCGAAAGAAAGCAGGATATTGGGCTGCTGGCAAACCGATGGAGGTATTGTTAGGGTAGTGTGCATGTGTGCATGTGTGTGTGTAAGAGGTGCTTTAACAAGCCTGTCACGATCTTGGAGACGCTTCCTCCCATGAGGGGGGGGATAGAAATTTCCTTTAGAGGAGCTTTCTGTGGTTCTTTGACTAAATCATTCAGACCAGCAGCTCAGAAAAGGTCCGTTTATCACGTGACTCGCTTCCCTTTCTCTGCAAAATTAAACCATTAACAGAGTGGTTGCTTGGAATGACATCATGGCTAAATCACCCTGGGACCCAAAAAAAACTCGGCATTGGATGTCGTCGAGAGGTGGGCTGAAACTCCTGCTGCAGGCAGAAAAGAAAGAAACGATACACCGATGAACCACACATTCACTGCGATTAGGACTTGACCACACGTGTAATCTAACTCCTCTGCAGATCTCCTATTTTGAGAACAGGAAACAGAAAGGTGAGGCGGCGAACAAAAGCAAGCAGCGGCGGTATCGGCGAAGGCCTTTCGGAAAGTGCACGCTTTGCTGAGTGGCGTAATTACAACGCAGCGGCTCTGCGGCCGAGTGGGTATCAATCAGCCTCGACGCGAGACGGGGAAAAAAAACACACAGCGGGAGAAGAAGAAGAAGAAGTGATGACAATGGCAGGTTTGAAGGAACCCCCGGCAGCCTGAATGAAGACCTTTCTCCACTCCAGCTGACACCACCCGAGAAAAGGCCAGGGCACAATGGACGCTGGCCAAAAGAAGGCTCGCATTGTCCTGAGAGCTCCTCACGTCCAGACAATGCTCAGCATTCTTCCTGCTCCTGTTTGGTATTCTTCCTAGTCTCCACTGATCCCAGTCCCACTGCTCCATCTATCTCAGATATGCAAGGTGGCTGGACGTTGGTCCGCGGCGGTAGAGGGGGGCAACAGCAGCCAAACAACTGCAGATGTCCTGGGATGCACTTAGAAAAGAAAACAGAGCAGAAGTGGTGAAAAACCTCTTGCTGTTTATTCATGTAAGCTCGGTTTATCAAGGAATTAGAATAATTTCCTATAATCACTCACAGAGCAGCCCTCCCCACTCAGCTCCTTCAGACTAGCCAGCAGCAATTAGCAAATATCTAGTGGAACTGTCCATCTGCTGAGCTCATTATATGAGCTACTTCTTAGCATTATGCTGATAAAAACGTTGTTAAAGGGTTAATTGAGGAGCCATGTTGTGATGACTTCCTGAAGGCGGAGCTTCAAGAAGAGCAGGACTGTCTACATTTCTTTTAAGTCATACAGCATTTCTATAATAACTGAAGGTAACATAGTTACAAAATCTGTGTTATAAAATGAACTGTGTGTTTGGAAAACACATGGTACCACCCCTTAAAGTTTTGTTATCTGGACCAAAAAAATCCAGCAGCATTTTTCTCACGTTTCATTGTTAAAGCAGTAATGTCTGCTCCAGATGTCTCACCAGGGCTCAACCAGATG